TAAGGGTAAGGAAAATTGCAAAATAATAGTATTGCAACATTCTTGGTTACCTGTACTGCTTTCAGTGTGTTTGAACAATGATTTACTTGCCTTGCACATTAAGTAATATAACTTAATAAATTTTTCATTTACTTCAGTCTTTTTGACTTAAATTGGACACAGGCAAAAACATAATAACTTTGTGTTCTCAGTTCTGTGTTTGCAAATTTAATTTAACTAAGGCAGTGGTAATGGAAATGAGAAACAACTTGGAAAGTTAGAAAGCATGCGATTAAGACCAGGAAATGTGTTTAAATGTGTGGAAATTTATTTAATTAGAAATAAACCACAAATTACCAGTTGTGATGAATAAATACAATTATTAACAGTTCATATTGAGATATGTTTTATTGAAGGTAAGGTTTTGTATTTCTTTGAAACAAAATTAGTATAATCTGGATGTCATTTAAATGTTTATTATATTGTTTTGTTTACTAGTGGAATAAAAGATTTTAGTGTTATAATGTTATTCAGATTAATGCTAATCTCTGTAATGTTGCTGAAACTTAAGGGAATCATATTTCATAATAGCATTGAAATACATGGCAATTTAGGGAAGACTTCCATGTTGATGAGTTATCAAAATGCTAAGCCATATTAGTGAGAGGCATTTTTTGTACTTTCTTATACAGTATAATCTTTTTGTTGGTCATCTATATGAAAAGAACCTTATTTTACAGAATGATATTTATAATGTTTTATTTTGTGTAAATTTGTTTTTTATTTTGTAGTTTCTCTTTCTCTTTTTTTTGTCAATTTGTCTAATTGAAGCCAGTCTTCTTAAAAGGAATTGTTTTAGAGTAAACGTTTTAGTTAAATTGTACATAAGTTGTGTAAAATATTAATTGATATATATCAGTTTCAATACATGTTACACTCTATAACATTTTAATGGTGGTTTATACTTTCTCCATCTTCTATAGGAAGTGCTATCACCCCTGTTTTTACCTACTGCTGCCATGTATCGCCTTACCATTTTAACTCTAGAGTTCATTATGGTCGGTTTTCAGTGTGCCTTGTTGTGATAGCCTTTATTTAAATTGTCGTTCCGGCAGTGTCTGGATTTTTTTTACCACTTTTAGAAGAAAATAAATTGAAAAAATATTCTCCATAATCATGTACCAAGAGGTAAGTGTCAACACATATATAAACAAATATATCATTATTGTAACTTTTTGTTTCAGAGAATAGACTTGGTTTATTTCTTAACTGGTTAATTTAGTTGCTAAAAACTGATGCAGCATTTTTATATTTACTAGGAATTTTGTAATATATATATATATATATACTATATGTGTGTTTGTATATATATATATATATATATATATATATATATATATAGAAGTAAGTATAGTGTATGCAGTAGTAACGTTGTTAGGTTATTATTATATACTACGTACAAACTATATAAAAAC